TTCCTGTGCGGCGGCGTCGCCGGCGGGGACACCCTTCTCGATGACACTCCAAAAGCCCTTCGCCATGAGGGCTGACTTCCCATATCTGGACCAAGTGACGTAGTCAGATCCGTCAAAGCGAGTGTTCCACAATGAATCGATCACCATTTTAGAGCGCGGGGCTCATAACCTCTTGAAGGCTGAATGGATTTGGACGCAATAGTGATTGCCAGAGCGTTTACAAAGCGACTAACGGCTCAGCTCAGCCACAACTCACTACTCTAGAAGCATACCAGACCAAAGATAATCGCTGGCTCATTCCTATTTATTCACGAGTTCGACAGTCGATCAGCAAGTACGGAAGATGGCTCCACTCTATCCAGAAACCAAGCATCACGCAAGCATCAGGCGACAGACTGACCGGACAACATTTTCCTCAACAATTATGAGAAACGGTTTGTTAAACAACTTTGTTTTGAGAAAGAAAACTGTGAATCACGTCGAATCATACCCGAAGAGGCCCCCCCGGACCCCAATTCCGATTCGGGTCCAATCAGGTCCAATTCAGAGTCCAATTCGCATGAATCAACCCTGATTCGCCCACATGTGAACACGTCCTAAGGGTGCCCGGTGTCGGGCACGCCAACTGAACATCTTCCTGGCATCTGCACTTTGCATTTCACCGTGTTTTCTCTTTTATTTAATAACACCGCGCTGCGCCCCGGCCGCACGAGCTATGAGCCGCAAGCGCACCGCAGCTGCAAAGCGCGCCCGCGAGCCTGCAACGGTACTGGAGAAAAGAAAGCGCGCCCTTCCTGGTCACCATTCACTGCATGGCGCACCGGACGGACCTCGCAGCGGAAGCGCTCAACGTGGCAGCCATCATTGAGCGCATAGTCCAGCTGCTCACCAACGTGCACAGCCACTTCTCGCGCAGCTCGAAGCGCATAACTGCGCTCAAGCGGGTGGCGTCAGAGGCTGGCACTCGCGGCAACCGCATGCTGAAGAACGTGGAGCCAAGGTGGGTAATGTGATCGGGAAGGTTCGCGGGTTTTGCTAGTACTTTTGCCTGGCATGTTTGACTGCTTAGCTTACTGCTTGGCTTGCCTAAGCCAGGATGGATACCAAGACCTATACCTTGCAAGTCTGTGCATTTACAAATTGCTACATTTGTCCGACTCTACAGGTGGATTAGCATCTATCGGCCGCTATGCCGTGTGCTCGATGAGAGCGCTGCGCTGACGGCTTATTTCGACCCGGAGCGTGAGCGCCCTGCGGGAGAGGACGACCCTGACGCCAGGGCCAGCACCATCTACGCCAAGCTCACTGATTGTTGTATCCTGTAAAGGTTTTCCGCAACGGTTTGGGCGCCGAAACTTAACTGTCGGTGGTTAGCTCGTCCACTCCGATTTACCAAACTCCAATATTACTAACTAACACCCGTCAATTCCGCGGTTGGTGCTTACAGGTATTAACTAATACTGATATTAGTTTAATTGCGGCTACTGTTAGCTGCGGCGGCTAAGCGACTACTGTTAGTCGTCCGCCATCTAAATGCCGCACTGTTGCGGAAGTCCATGGGCGCCGGCGGATCCAACGACTACTGTTAGTCGTCCGCCATTCAAGTGCCGCACTGTTGCGGAAGTGCATGGGCGACGGCGGCTAAGCGACTACTGTTAGTCGTCTGCCATCCAAATGCCGCACTGTTGCGGAAGTCCATAGGCGCCGGCGGATAACACGACTACTGTTAGTCGTCCGCCATTCAAGTGCCGCACTGTTGCGGAAGTGTATGGGCGACGGCGGCTAAGCGACTACTGTTAGTCGTCCGCCACCTTAATGCCGCACCACTGCGGAAGTCCATACCTGCGTATGGGCGGGGGTTTTACTTACGTAAAGCTGGGACCTGCGTCCCAGTTTCGTCTGACCGAGCGAGAGTAGTTCCTGCGAACTATGGCTTCTGGATACGGCGCCGCCCAGTCGTACTGGGAATCCTTATCGGCGCGAGGCCCAAGTGGAGTCACTGATGACTACTTATTCAAGACACTTGTCTCAATCGGTATCTTTCGATGCCCCCATTATGTGGTTGTGTCGTCTGAAGTCTACAACACGCGCAAAAAGGCAGAAGATCATCCACGTCTGGCAACTTGAACATGTGCCACACGTGCTACCGCTTTAAGCTGGACAACCAGACCAGGGAGGAACATAACGAGTTCACTGCCTCAAGCACCTGGTGGAAAAGTTGCAGGAGAAGGTGTCCCGGCTGAACACTGAGAAGCAGAAGGATTAGGGTGCGGGCAAGTGCAAGGGGGTGACTTGCAAGCAGGCCGTTTGTGCTGTTGCACTGGTGGACCAAGTCTCTCCTAAAGAGCTTGACTTGATGAATAGGGACTCGGTTGTTCCACCATTTGCGATCCATTCCCTATGGCATAAAACGGGGGGTAAACCCCCCTTAAGTGTAACCCAGGGGTAAGGGGTAGGGGTAAGTGGTTACCCATGTGGCTATGTACGAAGGGAGGTGGGCAACCTAACCCCAGGGTAGGTGTAATCCCTTACCGAGGGGTAACAAAGGGGTCGGGGTAATACACTACTGATGGGTAACAGATCGGGTAACCCATGTTAACAAATGTGCCTCGGCTGAAACCTTCACACGCGCCTGTCAAACACACGCAAACATACATGTCCACAAACATACATTTGCGAGCTGAGCAGGAACTAAGTTGTGGCGCTGTTGATCCACTAGATTTGGTTGGATGCTGGTGGTGAGTGCTGGGGTGAATGGATTAGGGTGCCCCTCTCGCAGGGGAGAGCAGGGAACTGCCTCGGGAAAGGGGGCCGCTGGTGAAGCTTTACCACCCTGTAACAACATCATACATGTCCACCAGTCACTTCTGAATGCTCAATCGTCAACATTGCCGCACCAAAACATGCCTTGTTTTGAAACCTAAACCTAAGGTTAAGGCGCACAGCTGCAGCCTAGATGCAAGGAGGCGGATGAACAGGCGTACATAGACAGAGCGCATTGGTGACCACAAGACGCCGCAAGCGAAGCCAATAAATATACATATCGGGTGCCGGCGGACCGGGCGCCGCACACGCTCGTCCAGCTGGGCGACCCAAAGCGGACGCGCACGCAGACACGACCTGCTTCGATCTGGCAACTCGCAGATTTTGGTCGGCTCGCGCGACATTTCGTCAGAGAGCCTTTGTATGAACGTTTTTGGGCGGGGCCCCAGCGCGAAGCGCCCAGGGGGGCCCCGACCTGTAGGATTGCCCATGTCCGTGTGTGTGTGTGTGTGTGTGTTCGTGTGTGTGTAACGGACCAAACATAATATTTCGCCCGGCTGAAACGCGTTATAGGTCCTATACAGCATTCTCTATTGCAAGGTATCTCGCATGTAGCCAACAAAAATCGTATGAGCACAAACAAGTTTGGCTGCCTCAATTGACCGAGGCCAAAGTCACATCAACGCCTCTCGGGCTAAATTTCATCCCGAAAGGTACCGCGTATCTCATATTGGAATTATTAGATGACGGCGTATGATAACTCGAACTCCCAGGCCTTGAGTGTGTAACGGACCAAACATAATATTTCACCCGGCTGAAACGCGTTATCGGTACTATACAGCATTCTCTATTGCGAGGTATCTCGCATGTAGCTAACAAAGACCGTATGAGCACAAACAAGTTTAGCTGCCTCCATTCACCGACCTCAAAAGTCACATCAACGCCTCTCGCGCTAAATTTCATCCCGAAAGCTGCCGCGTATCTCATAATGGAATTCTGAGATGACGGCGTATGATAACTCGAACACCCAGCTTGTGTTACCATTTGCCGGCATGGGCAATCCGACTTGCCACCAGCAGGCCAACATAATTTGCTTTCATTTCTCTATGAAATACACAAGCTGCTTGTTTGTACATTTACTTTGGCCAATGCACGGGGCCTCCGAAGCGTTGCACTCTGCCGCTCTTACTTATCTGTTTAATTATTAACCGATGGGTGTGCCACGGAATAGTCCCGAAATCGCTCGAAAATACATTCGTTACACAAACACTACCTCCCACCATGTTGACATTACCCATCAATTGTCACACTTGCCACCCTTGCTACCGGCCTGTACGGATGCAGAGGGGCCCCGCCCTTTTTCCGGCTTCCTTGAAGCCGACACCCAATCTTGTCCACAGGACAACGTATTACAAGTGACCGATTGTCTCCGACACTGTCACATGGACATGCGCCGCGCGGCGGTGGCCTGGTGCGGCTGTGGGACCTTACCCACGGTGGGTGGTGGGGGAGTCACCCTGCAGCAGCATCACTTCTGGGCCTGCCCCGTGGCCCTGGGCACGGTGGGCCAAATGGAATTGCAGATGGGGGCTCGGGCGAGCAAAGCTCTGGCTGATGCAAGCGCCACCCCCGTTGAAGTGCTGTGTGTAGGTGGTGGTAGTGGGCCCTGAGGTGCCTGTGTAGGCGACTTCCCCCGAGTTCTGCTTTATCCATTTTCGGTGCAGTAGTGGTGCGTTGCTGTTGCCCCTTCCTTTGGTAGTGGTGTCCCGCTGGGTGTCTCTGCATTTTTGGGTGTTCTGCTGGCGGGCTGTAGCCCCTGATCGCTTTTCGTGGCATTGTGATGCGGGGATGCATTGCACCGATAATTCCTTTCAGGGTCCGCTGTAACCTTCATTCATTCATTCAGTGTATGTGAAAAAGTGCATGAATTCTCTCTCTTAGAGGGCATTGCTTAAAGTGTGTGGTGTAGGGTGTGAAGCATTTCACACAGTGGCAAGTCGCGAGCCTGCCAGGGATTCACACAGCAGCCCTGGCCAATCATCAAATCACATGCAGCCTGCCAGGAATTCACACAGCAGCCCCGGCCCTTCATCAGCCTGTGACAGCTGCCGCCACTTCAAGGCGATTTGCTTTGTGTGCTCGTGAGGCAGGGAGCTCTGTCCAGCTGCCGCTGCTTCTGATGGGGTGTACACTGTGGGCAGCTCGTCAGCACCGGGGGCCCTGACCGGGCCAAAACACAGGGGCGGGGGGCAGCCATTAACCGGAACCACCAAACGCAACCTGTTTCCTGGCCCATCGCTATTGTCTCCATATGACGAACGCTGATGTTTGGCCCGCTCGAGCGGGCATCTTTCACAACCATACCAATAATGCAATGCTTGAGCTTCACTGCTGCATGAATACCTCTGTCACTACCCACCCTTACTGTTTTACCCCATACAGTTGTGGTCGAGATGGAGGTGGACATAGTGCAGCGTGCAATGAATAATCCAACCTTGCAGCCCAGTTCACCTGCAATCCTCATGAACACACAGTCCGCAAGCCAGAAGCCTGTTAGCCGCCAATGCTGGCATGTCGACCTCAGTGAGGGCCAGACTGGCTTCGTGGTGCTTGCAGCTGTGCAGCAATGTTCACTGCTCGTCTTCCCTGGCAGCCACAAGCAGGTGCAGGAGTACTGGCGGCTGCAGAAGCTACTGGAAATGGAGAAGATTGGGGAGGCCACTTTGAAGGCGTGCCTCTCCAGCAATTTTAACAGCGTTAAGGCTGTGCGGATCAACCTCGATCTGGGGGACATCCTTTTCATGTCTGGACACACCATTCATGCGGGAGACCGGGGCATTGACAAGCACCCCGCCCTGCGCATGCACTGGTATGTCACTGAGAAGAAACAGAAGAATGAAACCATGCAGATTGCTCTGTTTGGTGAGGACTTTGCCAGTAGATTCCAGTGATATGCCAGCAGTTAACTGGCAGGTAACTGCTGGCATATCACTGGAATCTTTGCCAGTAGGGAGGGCAAAGGACGGCAAGGGAATGCAAGGGAGGGCAAGGGAGGGCAAGGGAGGGCAAGGGAGGGCAAGGGAGGGCAAGGGAGGGCAAGGGAGGGCAAGGGAGGGCAAGGGAGGGCAAGGGAGGGCAGAGGAGGAAAGAGGAGAGCAAGAGACGGCAGAGGAGGGAAGTGGAGAGCAAGGGGCGGCAGAGGAGGGCATGAGAGGCCAAGGGAGGGCAAGGTATGGCAGAGGAGAACAGAGGAACGCAAGGGATGGCAGAGGAGGACAGAGGAGAGCAAGGGATGGCAGAGGAGAGCAAGAGAGGTCAAGGGTTGGCTGAGGAGAGCAGGAAATGGCAAGGGAGGCTACAATGTTGTGGACTCATAGGCCAGCAGTTGCTTGGTTGTGTATGCAGCAGGCATGAAGGTGGGGTTTGCATGCAAAACGTCGGGTTGTATGTGGTGGAGCAGGTCACTGGATATGAAGGGAGGATCTTGAATCTGAACATTGACATCTTTTCTTCTATCTTAAGCTCAGGGCCTACTTTAGGTGCAGCACGTTGTGTTGTAGTCACGAGAGACAGGATACAGATCATTCAACCTTGTGGGCCTGCTGGTGGCTGTAAGTAGATATTGGCGTTGAACTGCTTGTCAAAAGCAGTAGTGCTTCGTATGCTAAACTGTGAAGCACAAGGATACCTTACGCCATGTAAGTAGTGCCATTCGTTTCATGCCTAAATTCACTGCAGCAGTAGTGCTTTTGGAACAGCAGCCTGGATTTTCATCCAGTCAATTAGTGCCTTGCTAATAAGCGAGGTAATATGCATGATTGATGATGTTGCTTGAAACGTATGGTTTGCCAAATAATAGGCAAAAGGCAGGACATTTCGTTACAAACCGTTCAAGAATGTTTGTTCTAAAGAGATTATCCATCAACACCGTGAGACAGAGCTAAAATACAGTCTGAAAACATCTGACAAGCCTTAACAACGGCTAACAGCACCAATTCCTGTTCTACTTCTCCAACATGGTTGTTAACAGCCAGATCCACCCGCCGCCAGCCCAAACATCGTCTGACAGCCCCATCACTGTTAGAGAATCTGTTAGGCTAACATTTCCTAACAGGCACGCCTGTTAGCCGCTGTTAGACCCCCTATGAGTTGGTAGGGCTCGCTGTCGACAACCGGAGTGGCGTCATTGTCGTCGGCTGGCTGCAGCATTGGGTCCACATTGTCTAAGACCATTACACCGTCTTCATTAACGTAGCTAATGGCTTCAGTGAAGTTTAATATCTGCTTAATGGCCTGCCAAGCTTTGGGAGCTTCGGGTCCGAATATTTGGCAGCGTTTGGTCCGGTCAGAAACAGTCCAATTCCTCGTTGACTTTCGGGCATGCCCTTCCTAACAGTATCAGTGGCATTAAAGTACTATGATATGGTTAAGCAGCCCCTCGCAGAAATGTGAGCGGTCGTACTCTGCCGAATAAACCCTCCGTACTTCGTCCCCAAAGCCAGGAGCGAATTTTGCCGCGCGGATGCGCGCGTGCGATTCGCAAAATGCGCCTGTACAAGTGTATGTAAATTTTCTTGGCGAAAAGTCGCGGTGTGTCAGCGCGCTTGTGCGACAGCATGTTGGCCACAGTTGCACGCGGCAAGCAGGACCGTAGGAATGTATGGCTGTCTTGACGTAACTGAAAGCATATAACTTGGTTTCAAGACCGCGCTCATGGAATGGCCGCGGAAGATGAAGCGTCTGGCGAAGCGGCACTTTTCGAAAAGACGTGGTGCCTGCTTACATACGCAAACAGCACCTTTTTTCGTCTGAAGTCAAAATACAAACTGTCGCAAATTAAAGATAGCATACACAAAATTAAACATAAGAACTGGAAAATCGTTCACAGCTGTGTAACTGACATGGACGCAGCAGAAAACTTGGAGCAGGTTTTTTCTGTGCATATGGCCGCTCCTGCGTTAGCCGTGTTGCAGCAGCTCCGGAAGGACCTCAGCAAGCAGCAGGCTCAGAAGCTGCTGGACAACCACCGTAAATTTCTTCAGCTGGGCACGTGCAGTTTTGGTCGGCGGGGTCGAGCATCATACGCATTGCGCACGGAAGCCGAGGTGCAGCGTCTCTGCAACATCGCGAACATATCCGGTACGCAGTGGCGCGCTTGCCGAGCACAAATTGAAGTTGGGTCGCATTACACCAGTCCACAAAGCATGCATGTGCGCCAGCAGATGAAAACGTGGCGCACTTCTGGTCAACGGGTGTCGGTCTGCGTTTACGTGGTAAGGCAAGAAACAAGGAGTGGCATAGGTCGGGTCATGGCCGTGGTAGTGGCGCACGACCTGTCGTCTAAACTAGCCCGCATTAGTCCGCCTCTTTTCAGTACGTAAGTAATGTCGGTCAGCGTTTACGTGGTGAGGCCAGACTAAGGGGCGGCATACTTGTGGTTATGGCAGTGGTATATCGAAGGACCGCTCATCAGGCACCTGCCCACATTAGTCCGCCCTCTATTCAGAAACCCATATTGTAAGATGATGCCATTTCCTAAGATGGTGACCGTGGAAAGTGGGATGACGAGGACCATTTCAAGCGCCAACCGTGTCCATATACAGCTACAATGGTTGTGTAACTGTTTGCTGCATAATTCCCCATCCTACAGGTCCGCAGGGTGCCGCAGAAGTCCGTGTGGCGCATACACATGATGGCTGCATGTGCAGTGACGTGGGCGATACCGGTACAGCCGACACGTCATCCATGCATATCGATTTACAACCAACCCGCGTTCGTGTTGGGAATGCAGAGCCATCCAGCAGCACCGGTAAGTGTGTGCCAATGTGAGCATGTGATCCGCGGAGTGTGACATGCTATGCTGCACATCGCAGAAATACAGTTAGGCCTGTTCTGAAGGCACTGCTCACAGCTACATCCAAGTCTACACGCATCATGTTGATAACGGGGCACACCCTGATGCTTGCTATGCAGGCCAACTCCGGGTGCCCCTATATGCTCGTAGCGACATTAGCAACTGTGCTGTCGTGCCGCTCGATGCCCACGCAACGTGTGTGGACTGCGTGCGACATGGTCTCATTGCCGCGGGTGCCACTGATGTGCCTGCGCCTGAAATTCTGCTGGCGACCGTGGTGGGCGCCATTGCCGAGTCATGGGATTCGATGCGCTTTCAAGTGCTACACGCCCATGCCAGCAGCCTCCCCAGCACTTGCACGGCGACGCAATATGGTGAAGCCCTACAGCAGCACCGGCTGCTGCCAGGCGATGTGGAGCTGGCAGTTCTTGCCCATGCTTTCAACATTGCGATCACAGTGTTTGACCCGGCTGGGCTGCAGATCTGCTATTGGGGCTCCAGCTCAGCGCCAACAGAAGTGTGCCTCATCCGGCAATCGGGCCTCGCTGGCACCCCCTTGCCTTACCGCCTGCTGGATATGGTGCCGGGTGTGTGGACAGGGCAACGCCGCCAGCATCTTGTCGCGGCTTGTCACGCGGTTGGCCTCTGCATGTCAGAAACACCGTCAGCCGAGCGGGCTGGTCAAGTGTGTGCTGTCCTGCATGCGATGGACAGCCGCTTTGAGGTCACTGTGCAGCAGGTGTTGGCGGAATGGGCTGATCAGCACGAACCTGCGGTTCAGGTGCGGCGGCTGCTTGCAGTCACACGGCAGTCATCACAACACTCACTGCTGCAGCAGCAGCCCCCGCAGCGGCAGCGGCAGGAGCAGCAGCAAAGGCATCAGCAGCAGCACCAGGCACAGCAGCGCAACCGGGTCGCTGCACAGCCAACACGCCAGCAGCACCATCGACCATCTGACGGACCATTGCCCAGTCAGCAGAGGTCATGCAGCTGTGGATCGCGGCTGCCGGCAGCCTGCGGGCAGATACCGCCATAGAGCTCATCTATGACTACGGCATGGACGCGGGCACCGTCCTCAAGGCCGACCAGGACTTCGCGCGCTCGGTGCTGACGGCCGCGCAGCAGGCGCGAGCGTCGGGCGCCCTCCTGACCACAACCACGCCAGCCAAGCGAGCTGCTAGCAGCCCCGCCGAGCCAGATTCCAGTGCCCCCGCCCGCACGTGACTGTACACCATCACGTGCGCTCCCACCGGCAGAGTGTACGTCGGCCAGTCCCGGGACCCTCAACGTCGCTTCCAAGCTCATGCCCGCAACCCACCCAGCCGGATGAAGGAGGACGCCAGCCGCTACCAACCCTTCCATGACCACTTCTTGCTCACGCGCCTCATGTCCACCGCCAATCCTGCACTGGCCCAACGGATGGAGGCCTTCTATATCGCGCAGTTCAAGGCTCGGGGGCCGGGCGGCTACAATGTGCTGTGCGGGCCGCCTTCCGCCAGCCCGGCCTTCTACGCGATGAGGCGGCGACGTGCAGGCAGCGCCCACACGCCCACCGCCGTCACAGTCACAGACGATGACGATGACGCCCCAGCCACGCTCGCCTAGCCCACACAGCACCTGCACGCCTCATGCTTGACGGATTGGGTCCCGCAATTTCAGCGCTAGGCTTCCCGACCTTGAGCAGTGCTGTTTCATTAGGGCACGATCACCCTTAGGCCTTCATTCACGCTGCATACTTGTCCGACCTTAACTCGTGTGTGAACGGAAGCTGCTGCCCTTGCGGATGGCAGCGCTTGCGATGGTCTATTGCGTGAGGTTTGAGGATAGGGGGGGGCTCGTTGCGCTCCTTCGTATGTCCGCTCCTCGAGTGCTCGGGGGCAAGTTGGCAGCGTGCAAAGCACCCATCATGTTGCCTGTTCTGGCATGGCCATCCACACGCGACAGGGATCTTTCCTCTACGACTTCTCCTTTGTTCCTCCTTCTTAGCACGGAAACGATGAGACGTGTCCTGTGCGCGCGCTGTTGCTGTGCTGCTGTTCTTGTTCTTCCGGTTGTGGTTCCTGTGCTTCTAGCATACTCGCGCCCGCAACGACTGACTGCAAGTACATTACGCCGTGCGCCAAACGCCATGTAAGCCTCATCTGCATACATCACAATCCATTCTGCTGCTGCACCTGCCTCTCCAGCCTGGCCCCATTCCGTTCCTAGCTCTTGTCCTTGCGCACCTTACAATCCAACACCATACGTGCTTTGGAAACGCGGGCAGCTGCTTCACAAGGACCCCCCTATTTAACATGTATGTCTCATGTAAGATTCTAGCGGCTTAGGCATGGACACTCCATTTTTGGCTGGAGGAATGAACTTGTACGGTCGGAACATTATTTATTCTCAGGGAACGAGCGGGAACGGAAATTTGCGAAAGCGTAAATTTGCGAAAACAGTTTCCGTCCGCATCCGCAAGCAGAGTCTGGTTTCGCGGATAGGAGGAATCTGGTTCTGCACTTCTCGCGCTTGCGGTACGGCGGAAAGTCAAATCCACGATTTTGCGCGCAATTTCCATATAAATAGCTTGCAGAAGCACTTGTCTCTAAACCTTGTTTAGAGAAATGTCTGCTGCGAGCCCTGAGAAGGGTGCCGATGAAGTTTCAAGCCAATCGACAATCGTTGAGGTCCTTGCAGTCAAGAATAAGTCCGGTAAACCGTGTGACAATACCTGGAAGTTCTTTGTTCGAGGCAATTACAACAAGACTAGCCACAGCCCCTGGTGTGTTGGGAGCGGACAGTTACAGCCCCTGGGTGGGTCGGAAGTGGACAGTGAGCCACGTCCGTCACAAACTAATACATTGAAGCCTCTACGTGGAGATTTGCACGAGTTGGGGCCGTTAAAAGCGGTTAGGGACCGATCATTATGACAACACCCCCTTAGCACTGTTCCTGACAGGGCGCACGACCGCCACAAGTTTTCGTATAGCTATACCATGCACAAATACATAATAATAACTGCATTTTAAGGTTTCCTAAGATATCCGCACTTTCCGAACTATTTCCGCAAAGGGTGCAAATCTGCGATAATTATCCGCAAAGGTCGGACGACTTCCCGCTCGTACCCTGTTTATTCTTAACTTTCAGGACCACGATCAATTTTTATTCCAAATTCGGAATATATTCCGCAAAAAAACGCTGGGAGGGACCGACAACCGTCGGCAACTTGCTCGGTGGTTTAGTTGGCGGCTTCTCTGCAGATGATGTAACGAGCATGAGCTGTTACATTACTCTCATTCGCCTATTCGTTATCGTTCGTCGGTGAAGTTTGGCCTTCGCCATAGGGCCTTCATCTAATCTGGTTCGCTTTGCCGTACTTCCGTCGGTGGCCGGTCGATAAGACGGCTCACCACCCATCACCCGGGGTCTTTCGGTCCCACCACACAAGTGGAATGCTTCTTAAATAGGCTTGATCATTACATTGGTATCGAGACTTCTCGATCCTAGCCTACTTCGCTTCTGCCGTCGTATCTCATGTCTGCTGCTGACCCTGTCGCGGCCATTGCCGACCGCGACAATGCTGTTGTTCAAGTCATTAATCGCGCTTCTTCTTTGTCGCATACGGAGATGGCGCCTACGTACCCGCGTTTCGACAAGTTGCTGGAGATGTCTCCGGATTCTCTTAAAAAGCAGCAACTGACCCTGGCGCAGGGTTGGACTTTACAGAAAATAGCAATCCAAGATGAACTCCAGCGATGCGGGCTGCCAATCCAATCAGAGGACGTCGCGGTTGCTTTCATCGCGGCGCTGGAACCCCGTTGTCTTCGCTTGGCTTTACACTCGGCTGTAGTTATGCAGGGTGGATTCTTTCCGAGTTTCGAGTGGCTTGAGGATTGGTTCCTCAAGAACTGCGGCGAGAATCCTGGGGGGGCTAAGTTTTGTGAACAGTTGGGCACATCTGTTGGCGTTAGCACGTCCTGTGTGCAAGACTGCCCCGTTCCCAGTTGCGAGCCTCCGCTTCCGGCTCGTTCGTCTCGTTCGCCTGTCGCTGCTTCGCTATCGCCTACCTCGTTGGGTACGGCTTCGTTTGGTAATGCAAGTTTACTTCGTCTAAACAGACTTCGCCGTTGGTGCAACTCGCGCGTCAGGACGCTGTTGTCTTTGCTGCTCTTATTGCAGAGCCTCGTCGATCTTGTAATACTAAGACTAATTCGAGCGTTCCGATTGCCTCTGCACTTATTCCGTCGACTCGTATACTTCGCACTTCCGAATTCGAGCAGCTTCAGCGTTTGACTGTCGTCGACGGGATTCGTTTGCCCCTTCGCGTCGATCAGCTATGTGCCCCAAATTCAGTTCGACTCCGCACAGCTTTCTGTCTTCCAGCTGTGCCGGACATCACGTTTTCGTTCATCCGCCTCCCGCTCATGCTAGGGAGTATCTGTCGCACTACTTGAACTGCAAAAGTCTCGCACCGCAGTCAACATCAGGTGGTTTTCTGTTGCCTAAGTGGGTCGCTGATAAGTGTCGTTCTTCGTTGTCCGGCATGACTCAGCTTCGCACGTACCACGCTGGTTATCACCTGTATGATGTTGTGGCTGCGGTAGGCAGGCGTCGTTCTGCAGGTTTAACCAGTCCTGTCGAGTTCTGGTACGACCCTCCGGTATCTGCTTCTGATGCTGACGTCGCCCCCTTACCTTTCTCCGTTTCGGAAGGTTTGACTATGCAGTTTCGAGGTAAAGTGTGTCAGTCCGATGCTTCCATCCTCATCGATAGCTGAAGCATGCCTTCAGCCCTTTTAAGTGCAGGTTTTGCTCGACGCATCGGTTTGGCGGTTCAACCGTCGGACAACACACATCCCGCCCTCACCGTCACTTTGGGCGATGGACGGACTACGACTTCGGTAGGGTTTGCTGAGGTACCTATTCGTTTGCAGGGTTACAAGGCTCGGTTGCAGTGTGCTGTGCTTGATCTCGCTCCTGGTTATGACTTGGTGCTGGGTGACCCCTGGGTTACGTCTGTCGGTGCTGTGCTTACCCCGTGCTGTGCTTACCCCGTATGCCTGCAGCGTGCGTTTAACTCGCCATCCTGGTCAACCTGTACTGAAGTCTAGCCCTTTTCCTAACCTACCCCCGTTGGAAGAGCCCTGTCATGTCGGCTTTATGCAGGCCATTCGTGAAGGTTATGAGTTCCTTCTCTGCATGGTCTCTACTGTCGACTCGACCTCTTCCGCGTCTCCGTCCTCTGTTTCGCCTGAACTGTCATCTTTTGCTCAAAAGGTTTGCACTGTGGTTCCGGGTGACTCTTCTGTTGAGTTATGAATGCCTGCTTTGCTGTTTTAAAAAAAAAAAGGGGGTCCGTTTTCCTGTCAGCTGCCAGCTGATTTGCCTCTCGTTCGTGTTTTGCTTTCCGTCTTTCCGCTAGAGCCTGGTTCTCGTCCACCTGCTCGAAATATCTTCCGCTATTCGCAAGCTGAACGTACTTACCACACTTCTGATCGTGAGTTGCTGTTCCGTATGCAAGCACTCAAGGTTTGGCGTTGTTTACTTGGAAGGTGCAAAGTTCGTTGTCGTCACCGACCATAAGCCCAACCCTTCGTACCCGACACAAGCTCAACTGTCTCGACGTCAGGCGGGATGGTTGGAATTTCTTGAATCTTTCATGTTCGACTGGCCTTATCGCGCAGGAGTTTGCAATCCCGCAGGTCCTCTGTCTCGGTTTCCGAGACACAGTCACGCGTGTCTGATGATGGCAATTTCGACTCGCGCCACTCCGAGTGGAGCTGCTTTCGCATCTTCCGCTGGCGTCATCTCAGAGATATCGACCTCTTTTCCAGACTTAGAGCAGTCGCTTGTCGAAGGTTGTTTCGCCGATCCGTCCAATACGGCGTCTCTGCAAAAGCATGATCGTTTCTGGTATAAACATGCTCTCATGATCCCTGATGAATCCATATTTCGTTCGCATATTCTGCATCTCTGTCATGATCATCCGATGGCGGGTCATGGTGGGGTGGCCAAAACGTTGGACCTGGTGCCTGGTGCATCGTCAGTTTTGGTGGCCGAAACTTCGCTCTGCCGTTGCAGAATACGTTCGTACGTGCGACAGTTGTCAGCGCGTTAAGTGCTCTAATGATCTTCCTGCTGGGAAGCTCCTTCCGTTGCCCATTCCTGAAGGGAAATGGCAAATCGTCACTATGGATTTCATTACGGATCTTCCTTCTGATTCGGATGGGTATACGGCAATCTACGCCTTCGTTTGCAAGCTTACCAAAATGACTCACCTTGTTCCGTGTCGCAAAGAAATCACTGCGGTGGAGTCTGCTAAGCTTTTCGTTGATACCGTTGTTCGTCGGTATGGTTCCCCCGCGATCCTTGTTTGTGATCGGGATCCGCGTTTCCGTTCCGCTTTCTTCACGCATCTGTGTGAGGATCTGTCTATCGACCTCCGTTTCAGTTCGGCTTATCATCCGCAAACTGATGGTCAAACTGAACGTGTGAATCGTACCCTCGAGGATATTTTGCGCCACTACGTTGCCGGTGATCATCGATCCTGGTCTCGTTTCCTTTCCATGGCTGAGTTCGCCATGAATAACTGGGTGCATTCCTCTACCGGTACTTCTCCGTTTCGTCTGATGTACGGTTTCGAACCTCTGACTCCTAGTTCTCTCTTGGCTCGCCAAGTGGGGGGGGAGAAGGCGCGTGCTCTTCGCAACGCCGTTTCCGTACGTTTTGCATCTGACATGCAAGGTGCGCTTGAGCGTGCTAAGCGTTGTTTGGCTGCACAACGTGATCGTATGAAGCGTTTTGCTGATCTCAAGCGTTCGGAACGTCAGTTCAAGCTTGGAGACGTCGTGTTGCTGAGCACTCAGCACATGCGTCTTGAAGGTCCATGCAAGTTGCTTCCTCGTTTTATCGGACCGTACGTTATTAAGGCTAAGATTAACGACGTCGCTTATCGTTTGGACTTGCCTAATGGAACGCGTATTCATGACGTATTCCATGTGTCTCTGTTACGGCCTTACTATGAGAGTGATCGTGCTCCGAAACCTCCGCAACTGGAGATTGTGGATGGTGAATTGGAATTCGAAGTCGAGGCAGTCCTTGATCATCGTGACGTGACACAAAAGCGTCGTCGCACTCGGTTCTTTCTAATGCGTTGGAAGAATCAAGGTCCAGAGTACGACTCGTGGGAACCGGAGTCGAACCTGACTAACTGTGCAGATTTGCTGCGTTCGTATTGGCAGACACGTAAAACTGCTGCTACCCTCGCGTCCCAACCTAAACCAGGAGTCACGCCTGTTGTCTCGCCGTCCTCTGTATCGGACGATCGTTAAGCCAGATCTGGAAGAGGCGTTCGTAAGCCTTCTCGTTCTCCACTTTTCTTCGGACTTTATCTACTGCCAGTGGGGTGCCTGTGACTCTGCTTTTCCATGCGCAAGCGTGGCGGTGTGGATAAGTCGGCTGTCGGGACAACCAGCTAATTAGGGGGGGAAGTATGTAACGAGCATGAGCTGTTACATTACTCTCATTCGCCTATTCGTTATCGTTCGTCGGTGAAGTTTGGCCTTCGCCATAGGGCCTTCATCTAATCTGGTTCGCTTTGCCGTACTTCCGTCGGTGGCCGGTCGATAAGACGGCTCACCACCCATCACTCGGGGTCTTTCGGTCCCACCACACAAGTGGAATGCTTCTTAAATAGGCTTGATCATTACAGATGACCGCAGCTGCGGTTCGTTTCAGGCCGGGCCTGTTAGCTATGCCTGTCTGGTCCCGTGTAGAGTTGGGCGCTATGAGTAGCATATAAGCAGTGAATTGCTTTGTTTACGACACTACCTAGTTGGCTTGCACAGTCTAATCGGCGTCGCAGAGCTCTCTCTTCAGTCTACATCGACTGATACAACATCTACGGTTAATCTTAAGGATCAAGTGAAGTATTTGCATGTCACGCTGAACCAGCTTTGGTTCTAAAATTCATGGTTAGTGAGCGAGCGAATACATTGAACAGTGCTCGCTAGGCCTTCATCAGCCTAAGAGGTCATCCGTATACATTTTATCTGTATGTCTTTGGTGGATTACAGTGCTTGGATACTGAAGCGGCTGCGTATCCTAGACACCCCCGTACTCTCCCGTACCAGGGTAACCATTGCGTCGCTGTGCACAGAAAGGTAGTTCAATTTGGGAAGGACATCATACACATTTCCTGGGCAAGTTACACTGTAGCAAGGGGACCTGATAGGCACAAAAAGGTTAGGTGGTCATGTTGACACAGCTGCGCGCCTTTCAAGCTACACATGTTCGAACTGTTTGCCTCCCCAGTCAGTCAGCCTCCAGCCCTCAGCTGTTGCTGACAATTTCCTTTCCTCTGCTCGCAGCGGGAATGAGAAAATTCTTGACAAGCGGGACGGAAATTACAAGTGTGGTTCTTAAACACATGGGTCTTAAGTAAATAGCCGATGCTGCACAATGATACATCATCAGGACTCCGGCGCCTCCGATGTGGGGCAGCACATGAAGTCAATGCTTGTGATCTGGTACACGATGGTGGGACCAAAGAACAGAGCCTGGGGGCTATTGCAAATGCTGCTAGCCGCCTTGTTGAAAGTCAGACACACGGACAGCCCATCGTCCGGTATGCTCTGGAACAATGTATCAATGCGTTTGATCGTTAGTACGCCGTACTCTGTGCCATCAACATTGACTGTCTGGAGGGTATGCTGTAGCACACGACCGTTGACGGTCACTACCGTGATGGGCTTGGGCTTCTGTTGCGCGCACGTTGCATCTACGATAGGGCAATAATTGTGCATCAAGGGAACAAGGCCGTACAAACTCTTAGGCATGGTCTGTGCGTGGACATGTGCTTTTCCAAAGCAAGTGAAGCACAAGGTGAAGGATGGGAACAACGATAGTCAAGAATTCTCTTGTTGCATGTCGCATATTGAAAAACATCCTTGCTTGGTATATACATGTACGCAATTGTGGAGTTGTGTGCTTTTTTGCTAAAGCTTGATTGCACGGCAAGCAAGCCACTGCACATATTGTTGTATTCTGGCAGACCTGCATCTGCCGATCGGTACTTTTCTGAAGTCGTGATATGACAATTGATATCGAGCAGGTATCCAATCCTGACCCAGGTTCGAATTCCTATCGGATGCGGTTTCTGGCTGGAGTGGCAGGCCCTGCCCACGACCACTGGTCAATCCTGCTGGGAGGTGGCACCACCCACAGTGACCCTGGAAATGGTCTAGGTCGAGGACGCCCTCATCAGGAGGGGGGATAAATGCTGCACTCTGGGCATATCAAGGGAGCTGCATCATCAGCCGATCGGTACTCTTCTGCAGTTGTGATATGTATGTACATGCAGACATCCAGCATATATGACAGGGACAGGGGGGCATATCTTCACCCGTGGCCGCTACCTGGCGAAACCCTGCCTGCCCCGGTATTTCGGGGCACCCTCATCCAGTCACCCTAGTCAACTTCTCAGTGGATAGCTCAGGTTCCGAACCCAGGTTCCCACCCGGTATCCAACGGAATCTGCCGGATCGAGGGCGGCTCAGCGCCATTCCTGGTCAGCTCGCAAGATCAGCTTATCCCAGGTCGCTACCGTCCATCGATTAAGGGAACTTTACCCTCCACAATCGGAAAAATTCTCAACCCTGATAAGTCTCGAACCCGAGATCTCCTGGGGGCAATATTGCCGTTATTATTCTGAGCCTTTACAAGAGTGTCTAACCTTTGTATACTAATGCATACAGGTAAACACATAGATCGTCTTTGGTAAACCCCCTCTTCATTTTATGAAAAGTGAGCCTCATACATACGTACATAGATACGTATACTAACGACTCAGGGATATTTCGTGACACACAGACATCGCATAAGGACATCCGGCTAACTAATTAATTCGTTATCACTTACCCACAATCATGTCGACTCTGCGTACGGTGTCCATGCCCGCGCACTCAGCCGTAGGGCTCACTAGTGAGGCGTTGCTGCTGATGAGGAGGCAGTAGGTGGCGGTGCTGGAGGTGACATTCATAGGCCCCACGGGTGCAGACAATCGCACCGGGGCCTGCGTGGCGTCGCGTCCCAGAATGCAGCCGCTGCCGAAGGGGAAGGAGCTCACAAGCATTGTGTTGTTTGTTGCGGGACTTGGTGCGGGACTTGGTGCGGGGCTAGGAGGAGGAGGAGGCGAACGCAGACGCTTGGGCGTGAGAGGTGACGGTGTGGGGGGTGGAGGCGGAAGAGGAGGAGGAGGAGCAGGAGGAGAAGGAGGAGGAGAAGGAGGAGGAGAAGGAGAAGGAGGAGGAGAAGGAGGAGGAGAAGGAGGAGGAGAAGGAGGGGGAGAAGGAGGGGGGGGGCTGGGAAGTGGGGTTGGGGGTGGTGGAGGAGGCGTATGTGGCGGCGGGGAAGAGGAGGGCGTAAGTGGTGGAGGGACAAGGCCCGAGGAAATTGCTAGGGGTGGGGGCGGCTGGCTGATAGGAGAGGGTGGTGGTAGCAC